GCCCCAGCTTGATTCTCTTCATGAAGTGGGAGCAGGGTTTGCCCTGTGCTGGGCCCACAGACGGTCCTAACTGGAGGCTCAAATGCAGTGAGTCCGGGGCTGGTCGCGCAGGTGAATTCCCTGTGCCCTCTGAGGAGCCTGCGTCCAGGAGGAGGCAGGGACCCAGCGTGGCACCTCCCGGGCTGCGCTTGGCACGTGTGTTGGGCAGCTGAGTCACAGCCCCAAACTGCTTCTTCATCCGCGTGGCGGGGAGAGTGGTGTGCACTGGACTTTCGGACACCGGACTTTCGGACGCACAGGCCACCACCTCACCTGCAGCCGCTTGGACAGGGTGCAGACAGGACATGCTGGTGTCTGAGGGGCTGGGGTACCCGGGACCACAGAAGGCCTCACTGACCTCAGCCCTTTGCAGATGCAGTGTGTTCTGGATTCTCCTGGGCCTCGGGATGGTCTGGAATGAGCGTGGTGACGTTCACTGTCTTCTGTCTCCGCAGGTCTGTTTGGGAGCCCCGCTACTGAGCCATGCCGGGCCCCCACAGGCCGGCCACAAGTCCAGCCCGGGGAGGCCGGTGGCCATGAGTAGCCGCAGCCACAATGGCAGCGTGGGGCGGCCCCTGGGCAGCGGGCCTGGATTCCTGGGCTGGGAGCCGGTGGACCCGGAGGCAGGCCGCCCCCCGCAGCCCGCCCAAGGCCCAGGCCTGCAGATGGTGGCCAAGGGCCAGCCTGCTCGAATGTCACCTGGTGGCCCCAGGGGCCATCTGCAGGAGCAGGAGGAAGAGGAGGAAGAGGAAGACGAGGAGACCCGGCCGGGCTCTGGGAAGCCCCCGACGGTCAGCCACCGCCTGGGCCACCGCAGGGCCCTGTTTGAGAAGCGGAGACGTCTCAGTGACTACGCCCTCATCTTTGGCATGTTTGGGATTGTCGTCATGGTGACAGAAACAGAGCTGTCCTGGGGTGTGTACACCAAGGTAGGCCCTGTCCCCCACATCTGCTCAGCCCGGGGTTGGGGGCCTTAGCTGGGCCCCACGAGCAAGGACGAGGGATGCAGGAGGGAGATGCTGGTGTGGCTGCACGCACAAGTCGCCAGGGGCTGCAGGGGTGTGTGACACTGGGCGGGTCTCTGGCCACTGCCAAGTCCCTTAGGTGGCCCCCGAGGAGCTCTGGGGACAGCGAGCCTGGAGGAGCAGGAAGCCACAGGGACAGACCCCATCTGGGCAGCACTTGGCGGGTGCCTGGGTGGCGGTGCGTGGGTGGCGGTGCGTGGGTGGCGGTGCCTGCGTGGGTGCCATGCAGTCCGCAGCGTCCTCTCTCGGTGCAGGAGTCACTGTACTCATTCGCCCTGAAATGCCTGATCAGCCTGTCCACCCTCATCTTGCTCGGCCTTGTCATCCTCTACCACGCCCGAGAGATCCAGGTTGGTACAGGGAGGCAGGGCCCGGCACAGGGCGGGCCTCTGGGATAGCGCCCCACCCTCGACCCCCCATTCCCACACCTGTCTGTTTTCCGGGGCGTTGTTTGCTGTGTTTTGAGTCAGGGTCTCAAATAGCCCAGGCTGGAAACTCCTGATTTTCCTGTCACCGTCTGGGGTGACAGCGTGCGCTCCGCTGAGACCTGTGGTCCCTCCAGTCGCCCCGTTGACGCTGGGTGACGCCCAAGCAGCCTGCATCCCCCCGCAGGCTCCGACCCCAGGTACAGGGGTGCAGGCTGAGGGAGACCCGAAGCCACGGGTGTAGCTCTGCCTTGCTGAGAAGGTTCCAGAACAGGGAGAGCGCTAAGATGAACAGAGTCTGGGCGCAGGGCGGGGGAGTCAGGGTGAGCGTTCCCGGTTGGCCTGCGGGCAGCGGAGGAGGCATCACCCGGCTGCACCCACCAGCCTGCCCTCCACGGTCCCCACACAGCTCCACCTTCCCTCCCCAGGGTCCGTACAGCACCCAGCAGTGTGGGGCAGATCCCCTCAGGACTGCAGAGAGGCTGCCTGGGGGCTGCCCTCGCCGCTGCAGCAGACGGGGTCAGGGCAAGATGGGACTGAGGTTGTAAAGGGCATTCTCCGTGGTACCGTGCTCAGACCGTGGTCAGACCGGGGCACCGAGGCCAGCACTCCACCGCGCCCGCCTCCCTCCTCTTCCCTTTCACTGTGCGTGTGTGCACAGTGGCCGTCATTTCTTTGGGTTCCGGGACTTGAACCCGGGTCCTCAGGCTTGCCAGTGAGCACCAGCTTTCAGTTAGGACGGGAACTCAGAAACCAAGCGTGCTGCATGGCTCGTGCCCCATCATCCTAGCGCTTTGGGGGCTGAGGCAGGAGGATTGCTGATGGTCCAAGGCCAGCCCAGGTTAAGACCCTGACTCCAGATGGCCAAACAGGCGAGCCAGACGGGGCGTTCCGCACCCGTCACCCCAGCATTTGGCAGACTGATGTGTGAGGATCAGGACTTCAGGGGCATCCTTGGCTGCATAGGCGTTCAGATCCAGCCTGGGCTACATGAGACCCTCTCTCAAAAATACACAAACAAAAAACCTTTGTCCAAAATCCTGAGCTGGGTGAGGCTGAGGCCTAGGCCAGCTCGCCCACTGAGGGGGGCCCCATGCTCACGGGACCCACCCCGCCATCCCTTCCTGCAGCTGTTCCTGGTGGACAATGGTGCTGACGACTGGCGCATCGCCATGACGTGGGAGCGTGTGTCCTTGATCTCGCTGGAGCTGGCCGTGTGCGCCATCCACCCGGTGCCCGGCCACTACCGCTTCACGTGGACAGCGCGGCTGGCCTTCTCGCTGGTGCCGTCGGCTGCTGAGGCCGACCTGGACGTGCTCCTGTCCATCCCCATGTTCCTGCGCCTCTACCTGCTGGCTCGCGTCATGCTTCTGCACAGTCGCATCTTCACGGACGCGTCCAGCCGCAGCATCGGGGCCCTCAACCGCGTCACCTTCAACACGCGCTTCGTCACCAAGACGCTCATGACCATCTGCCCCGGCACCGTACTGTTGGTCTTCAGCATCTCCTCCTGGATTGTCGCCGCCTGGACAGTGCGCGTGTGTGAGAGGTGAGAGGTGACTGACCGCGGGCCTCCTCCTTGAACCCAGACCCCAAGTCCCCCCCTCACTCCAGACAGCCTTCCCATCCCCCAACCCTGACGCCACGTCTCCCCCTCCGTCCTGTGGCCCTGCAGAGTAGACATCACTGGCTGAGGACTGTGTCTGCCCCTGCCCGGGGCCTCTGTGTCCCCAACCTTCTCCAGGGACCCCATGCTGGCCTCTGAAATCAGCCCAGCAGGAGGGGCCACAGGCTCAGGGCTGTCCCTCACCCTTGGTCGCTGTGCTGACACCCCACTCTTATTTCTGGGGATCTGGGGAGGACTCGGGCCTGGGGCCACCAAGTACAGGCTCAAGTTTAATGTTAACTTTCCCGCCCTATCTCTGGCCTTCTAGACCCCAGGGGGAACATGTGAGTCCCACCCTCATCTGAGCCACCTCCAGCCCCTCCTCCTGCAGCCCCCTCCCCCCCCCCCCCCCGGGACCCCCGCCACCATTGTTACTCCATCAGCCAAGAGTTTAAGATTAGCTGCGAGGGAAGGAAAATAGAGGAGGAGACTGAGGTCCTCAGGGGTCGTAGGACATGCTGGGGTGCCCACCCGCCTGACCAGGGACAGGTGCAGCCTCGTTGGCACAGGAATGCCTTGGGGGCTGAGGCCCATCCACCCGATGCCTAGTCGGGAAAGGCCTCGGTGCGAGACCCATGCTCAGCTGCCCACGCCCACTCTGTCTTCCCGTCCTCACGGGGTCAGGCTGGTTCTCAGGGAGTCTGATGTGCCCACTGCTGTCCGTGTCAGCCAGACCTGCTCATCAGAGTGGGACCTCAGGGCTCTCCTGACGCCACCCCTCTGAGAGGGAGCCCAGGAGAGGGAGCCCAGGAGAGGGAGCACGCAGCCTCCTAAATGCCTCTGCCGCCTTGCCCTGCTGCGACCCCACAGCCCTGTCCCACAGCCCTGTCCCTGCATGTGCTCTCCCCACGCCTGGGTCACACGGAGCATCCCCCACAGCTGCAGTCTGGAACGGAGACAGAGCCTGTCATCCCAGCACTAGAAAGATGGAAGCAGGAAGATCAGGAGTTCAAGGTTATCCTTGACTACATAGCAAGCTTGGGGCCAGCTTGGGCTACATGATGCCCAGTCTCAAAAAGAAAAAAAAAATCAAAAACATAACTACAGAATGATCTCTGGCCAGGCGGGGTAGCGCACGCCTTTAATCCCAGCACGCAGGAGGCAGAGGCAGGAGGATCTCTGAGTTGGAGGCCAGCCTGGTCTACAGAGCGAGTTCTAGGATAGACTCCAAAGCTGCACAGAGAAACCCTGTCTCGAAAAACAAAAACAAAAAAAACCAGAATGATCTCTGGAAAACTCAGGATTGTGGGTAAATCCCTCACCACCACCCCCAGAGCCACTACCTGCCATCCCAGCCCCGGGTGGGGTACCCAGTCTCCACAGCTCTAGCAGGTGAGATGTCAGGCTGCCTTTCCTGCAGGGCTCGGCTGTCCGGTGTCCCCACACACCAAGGCCTCAGGCTGGGGACAGCAGGTCCATCAGCACCCTTCTCCTGTCTCCTCACGTTACAGCCACCTGCTGGCTTTCTGTCCCCCCAGTCCTGTCCCTCAGGCCTCGCTGGCTGCGGTACGGGAAGTTCTGCCTAGTGTCTAGCCTGAATGCTTGTCTTCCCTGTGTGGCTGAGCCTTTCGGCCACCTTGGTACTGTCATGGGGTTAGGGAGGGCAGACTTGGTGGGTTACAACGTGGGTGTCAGGGAAGGGAGAGGCTGGAAGGACCACGGGGGGGCGGAGCATGGTGCCCCCATGCCAGTCTGCACCAGGGCTGTTATTGCTCGGCCCCCACCCCGGTCCGTGAGCACCCAGGGGAACAGTCCCCATGCTAGGCATGTGATGGAAGCCGTGGTCAGGGCAGCGTGGATGACCCAGCCCTGTCTATCCCCAATCCCAGGTACCATGACAAGCAGGAAGTGACCAGCAACTTCCTGGGAGCCATGTGGCTTATCTCCATCACCTTCCTGTCCATCGGCTACGGAGACATGGTGCCTCACACCTACTGTGGGAAGGGCGTGTGTCTGCTCACCGGCATCATGGTGAGTGCGGCCCCTGCCTGCGCCCACCCTGGAGACAGGGACCTCGCCCCTTACCTGCTCTGTGTGCTGCTAGGTTCTGTTTAGTGAGTTCTGGGGCCACCTCACCGTGCCCAGAGGCCCCAGCTGACCCCACATCTGATCTCAGCCTGCGTGGCTCATTGGCACCTCTAAAAGTCTGTCTCTAGCAACTCTAGAAGCCCAGGAAGGAAAAGCGCTCATCTTTGGTAGGTGTGGTCCACTTGGGACGTGGGATTTCCCGTTTTCACAACAGTTTTCTTGTCTGTTTGTTTGAGACACGGTCTCGCGGTAACTCTGGCTGGCCTCAGACTCAGAGAGATCCGCCCGTGTCTGCCTCCCAAGTGCTGGGACTAAGGGTGAGTGCTGCTCCCCCCAGGCTGAACAAGTTTGCTGGCCACCCAGCTGTCTGCACCCCCAGGCCGCCATTCCTGTTGAAGCACAGTGATGAGTTCTTGCAAACATAGGACCATCAGCCAGGCATGGCGGCACAGCCTGCCATCCCAGCATTTGGGAGCTCGGACAGGAGGCTGACCCACGCCACATGGGTACCTTGTGAGATGCTGCCTCAAAATAAATCAAACTAAAATTAAAAAGTTCTAATCCACGTAGACCTCAGCCGGCTCTGGCCGGGCCCAGCTCGTGTGCCCCTTTCTCCCTAAAAGGCTTCATGGCGTCTTTGCTAAGTCACTGGCCGAGTTCCTTCCAGAAGGAGAAAGGGGGAAAATAAGTATGGCCCGCCAGGAGACCCGGAGCGGAAGCCTCCCATCCCAGAGAGGCCTGCAGGGAATACAAAAGTACATTCCCTAATGGGCCAGCCCCCTTCCAGAAAGTTCTGTGGTTAACCACAATCCCTTAATGGACACAGCTTGACTCCTGTGAGGCTTGGGGGCGCACGCCTTTAGCCCCAGCACTCGGGAGGCAGAGGCAGGCAGATCTCTGAGTTCTGTCTCAAAAAACAAACAAACAAAAAAGTATGACCCCTCCAGGAAGCTCTAGCCAGCAGCTCGAGCCACACCCTTACTGTGACAGTCTTACTATGGACTCAGGCAATCCTCCTGCCTCCGCCTCTGCCCCACACTGCCTGGCTTGCTGCCAGCTTCCTGTTTGCCTTTGGGGCACAGACACTCACACTTCGGTCTTTCTCATATCCGGCCTCCATCACTTTCTCCTTGAATCTGAGGCTGCCCTGCCCGGCCTCTAGGAGAGAACTCACAGCTGTGTGTTCCTTTGCACCGATCCCTCCCTTTTCCTTTATCCTGACTCTGTAGTATTCCCCACAGGATTTTCTAGCAGCTTGCTTTGACCTTGTCAATATGACTTTTCCCAAAAGGAAGTTTCTGGGTCCTCCAAAGACCAACCTGACCAGGAATGAGACATCAGGGCGGGCTCTGCCCTCGGCCCGCTGTGCCTGGGCTCGGCAGCTGCCCCCTCCCTCCCTGGGTGGAGGGCACCCCTTGGGTATTGGCAGTGCCCTGTTTCACTGTGGCGGAGGGCCAGGGCCGAGGGCTTCTTGGAGGAGGGTGTGCCTGGCGGTGGGACTGACATGCCCTCACCCCACAGGGAGCAGGCTGCACTGCCCTCGTGGTGGCCGTGGTGGCCAGGAAGTTGGAGCTCACCAAGGCCGAGAAACACGTGCACAACTTCATGATGGACACGCAGCTCACCAAGCGGGTGAGCCCTCCCTGCAGGCCAGGCTCGGGGCAGCACTCCTGGCTGTGGGTCACCGCAGCAGCTGCCAGAGCTGCCCCAGGCCCAGCCGCGTGGCCACAGTGCTGGGGTTCGTGGGCACACTGTGGGCTGCCCTGTTCAGGGAGAGTCACTCCGGACTGTGACCGTGGCTCCGGGCGGTAGGGAGGAACCCTTCTGTGACCTGAGCTCTCTCCAGAAGCATGTTTCCTGAGTGTGCACAGAGGTTGTGTTTGGTGTACGGGTTCCCGTGCCAAAGCCCCTTGACCTACTCGGTGTTCTGGGAAGGAAGGCCTCACCCCACACGGCCTGCAGTGCCCAGTAAAAAGGCCTCCAAGTGCGCCTGATAGTCTTGTGACCACTCATGTGAGGGAGGGAAAAATCCCTTCAGAAAGCAGCTCTGCAAATCACAGACAGCAACCACTGTTCCCTCCTGGGACGTCGTCCTCAAGTCCAGGTGCCTTCAACAAACGCGTGCATCCTCCTGCTACCCTGGTGCAGTGAGATGCAGTGGAGACAGCAGTACCGCTCCAGTGTCCCCTAGATACAGCGACTCCAGCAGCCCCCACTACCCAAGGACCTGCGGCTGGCGGAGACCGCATGACTGCAGTGCCGCAGTGCCAGCAGTGATGCAGTGATGCAGCACCACAGTGATGCAGCACCGCAGTGATGCAGCGCCACAGCGATGCAGTGCCGCAGCGATGCAGTGCCGCAGTGCTACCAGCTCTATGCCAGCTGCTAGGTGCATGGCGTGAACTCTTCAGCATTTGCACATTGCCCTTTGCATCCGTGCCTCAGTTTCCCCATGTATACAATGAGTGGGAGCTGGAGCCCAGCTGGCACAGTGCTTGCTTTACATTCACAGAACACTGGGTTCCACCCCGCACCACATGGACTGGGCCTGCCATCCCGGCGCTCAAGAGCCAGAGGCAGGCGATCAAGGCCAGCCTCAGATACATAGTGAGTTTCAGGCTAGCCTGGGCTACATGAGACCCTGTAAAACAGTGACTCTCAATCTTCCTAATGCTGCGATCCTTTAATACGGTTCCTTATGTTGTGGTGACCCCCAACCATACAATTATTTTTGAGGGTACTTTGTAACTATAATTTTGCTATTGAATCATAAAGTAAATATCTGTGTTTCCCGATGGTCTTAGGCCACAACCCACAGGTTAAGAACCACTGCTGTGCCGGGCGGTGGTGGCGCTCTCCCTTAATCCCAGCACTCGGGAGGCAGAACCAGGTGGATCTCTGTGAGTTCGAGGCCAGCCTGGGCTACAGAGTGAGTTCCAGGACAGGCACCAAAGCTACACAGAGAAACCCTGTCTCAAAACACAAAACAAACACAAACAAACAAAAAGAAGCTAGTGTAGGCGGGGCAGCTAAATCCCCATTTCTAGTATTTGAGAGTCGGACCCCAGTTCCGTGAGATGGGGGCAAACACGCCTCTGGCTCACAGTGCAGGACCCCCACGGGTGGTTCTTGGATTTCCAGAGGTTTCTAGAAGTTTGCAGAAGTTTGCGGCCGGCTGATAACGACCCTAACTGTCCCCTTCTGCTCCCCAGGTCAAAAACGCCGCTGCAAACGTTCTCAGGGAGACGTGGCTCATCTACAAACACAGCAGGCTGGTGAGGAAGCCAGACCACGGCCGGGTGCGGAAACACCAGCGTAAGTTCCTCCAAGCCATCCATCAGTAAGTCGGCCCCTCCCCGCCCCTTCCCTGCGCTCCTGGCCCTCAGCCTCGCGGCTGTGCCCTCAGCTGACCCAAGCAATGTTGGTGAACGTTAGAAAAGATTCCGGAAGATGAAGGGGGCGGGGCTGAGAGGTGGTCTGTCCAGGTGGACATCCCTGTGAGTCACCTGTGCCTCAGGGATGGCAGTCGGGTGTGGGTCGCCCTCCCTCCGCGGCCCTTCCCCAAATGCTACGGTAGTTACTGAAGCCAAACAAGACTGGATTAGGGCCTGGGGGGGGAGGGCTGGGAGGGGGAGCCCACTCCAAGGAGGGTGCAAAGCCCAGGCTGAGGCAGGTTGGGGAGTAAGGGCGGCTAAGAGAGCCCCACAACCGACTAGTGTTTGAGCTCCTGGGAGATCAAATAAATGAAACCGAAAAATGAACAGTCCTGGAAAAATACCGTGAGGGCAGGCGTGACTTGGGTGGGTCCGAGTCCATCCAGCCCTGGTGGTCCTCTAGAGGCTGCACCCTGGCCCTCCGTCCTCACGGGCTCCCTCTGCTGGATGTGGATGTGTTCTGTGTGTCTGTCCGCCCCTCTGTCCTGTATTTTATTTTTGCCTGTGATGCTATGATGCTCAGCGGGTGCCAGGGTCACGCCCTCTGGGGGATTTAGCTGTAGGATGTGGCACAGAGTGAGCGGAATCCACCCACAGCAGCGCCCTCTGTGGGGAACAGCAGTCCAGGGGTCAAAGGGCACCAGGCCTGACCAGCAGCCAAGGGATCAAGTCCCGTCCGTATCCTGTGGCGCTGCCCTTGCCCAGCCTGTTTCCTTGTCAGGGAATTTTCTGAACACGCTGCCCTGGGAGGCAAAGCACCCGGCACCTGCCCCTCGCAGGCCGCGGGATGAATGATGGGCAGCTCACCAGGGCTGCCTGAAATCACTGGGTGATGGTACAGACGTGTCCCTAGGGCGTGGTAGCCCAGGACCCCCTGCCAGGCGCTGGGGAGTCGCCCGGGGACGGTGTCTGGGCACGCAGCATGTTGCTACATGGGATTAAAAGTGCACTGTGCTTTTTTCTCTCTTTTTCTTTTTCTCTGCTCTGCCGGCTCCTGTCAGGGCTCAGAAGTAAGTCGGGCTGATTGGAAGACTGGGGACCCATGATGCCCATGGGGAGGGGCACACCACGGGTGTGTCCCTAGTGGGCAGAGAATATGTCCATCCCACGGGTGGGGTGTGAACAGGTCCTTGGGCCTGACCTACCCTCACCCCTGCCTCCCCAGGCTGCGGAGTGTGAAGATTGAACAAGGGAAGGTGAACGATCAGGCCAACACGCTGGCCGACCTGGCCAAGGTGAGCATTGGGCAGGACGGGGAGGAGCGGCGGGGGACCCCGAGGGTCGAGTGTCCCATCAGAGGGGCTGGGAACCCACAAGGCCGCATCAGGTTAAATTCACGATTAATATTCCAGAGGCCCGGGTCCACAAACCGGGGACTCCCGGCCTCTCCAGAGACTGAGGGGGTCAGAAACAGATTAGGCTACATGGAGACCCAGTGCTGAATATATATGTACAGCCCAGGATTGTTAGGGCTCCACCCTGCCCACGCCCCCAGCCCCTCACTGGGGATCCTAGGCGGGGCTCCACCCTGGCCACGCCCCCAGCCCCTCACTGGGGATCCTAGGCAGGGCTCCACCCTGGCCACGCCCCCAGCCCCTCATTGGGGATTCTAGGCGGGGCTCCACCCTGACCACGCCCCCAGCCCCTCACTGGGGGATTCTAGGCGGGGCTCCACCCCTGACCACGCCCCCAGCCCCTCACTGGGGATTCTAGGCGGGGGCTCCACCCCTGACCACGCCCCCAGCCCCTCACTGGGGGATTCTAGGCGGGCCTGCACCTCACAGCCCTGTTCTACCCAGTAATATTTTCTGAAGTTGTTTAATAATTTTTGTTTTTTGAGACAAGGTGTCATGTAGCCCAATATGGCCTGGAATTCACTTTGCAGCCAAGGACAGCTTGGAGCTCCTGGTCCTCCTGCCTCAGTTTCTAGAGTTCAGGGATGTTAGTCAAGGTCATGGTGGTTCATTTCACATTGTTTATTCTAGTACTCAGAAGGTGTGGCGGGATGATTGCTTTGCATTCAAGGACTATGCATTTAGCAAGACGGCATGCCATGTCTGAAAATATACATCCATTCAATAAATAAAAATAAAACTCAATCCAGGCATGGCGGTGCACACCTTCAATCCCAGCAGAGGCAGGCGGATCTCTGTGAGTTCGAGGCCAGCCTGGGCTACAGAGTGAGGTTCAGGACAGCCAGGGCGACACAGAGAAACCCGTCTCGAAAAAACCAAAACTAAATAAATAAAAAGTCGAGCCGGTCGTGTAAACCTTTAAAGCCAGCGCTTGGGAGGCGGAGGTCTGCACGTTTGGGGCGGGTCTGGGCTCTACAGCGAGTCCCAGGACAGCCAGGGCTGGTGGATGCATCCGTGGTGATGCCCCGTCCCAGCAACTGAAAAAAAAAACAATCTGGGGGTGGCTGCAGCCATGGGCGTCCCCAAATGTCACACCTGGTACCCTTAAGAGTGGGGACGGGTGAGGTCCAGCCAGGGCCAGGATGTGGCAGCCGGAAGGACAGTGGCTGGGTCAGAGCGGCTTGAGCACCGTCAGACTCTGTCAGGTCCCAGTGCCCTGCGGCGGCGTTCGCGCCCCCTGGCGGCGAGTGTGGCGTCTGCGGCGGGACCGCGCACCTCGGGCGCCCCCTGCTGGCCGCGGTCCCACACCGGCCGGCGGCTCTAACAGAAGCGCCCCTGCCCCCCCCCCCGCCCTTTTGACCCCGTGACCCCTGGTGGCCTCCGTCACCCCTCGGTCTGTCTCCGTCTCCGCAGGCGCAGAGCATCGCGTATGAAGTCGTGTCGGAGCTGCAGGCCCAGCAGGAGGAGCTGGAGGCGCGCCTGGCCTCGCTGGAGAGCCGCCTGGACGCCCTGGGCGCCTCGCTGCAGGCCCTGCCCGGCCTCATCGCCCAAGCCATTTGCCCCGCGCCGCCGCCCTGGCCGGGGCCGAGCCAGCCGGCGCCAGCCACCCGGAGCCCGCTGGGCCGCTGCCTGCCCTCCGTGGGGTCGGACTGCAGGTGACCGTCGCCTGCCGGGCTGCAGACTGCTGAGTCCCGGCGTCGTGCGCCCGCGGCTGGCTCCGGACCTCTGCACTTGCGGGCCTCGCAGGAGCTGAGCAGGGGGCACTGGCATCGGCTCCCCGAGGCTGGACCGTGGGTCCCGCCGGCCCCCTCGGCTGTCCCCAGCCCCGGAGGGCAAGGAGCAGCGGAACCCGGGAGTAACCCGGGGGTCACCCGGGGGCTGCCGACCGCCTTCCGCTCCCATGGCCCGGGGGCGCGAGCGTCTCCCCAGACGGGGTGGGCGCAGCCTGCGGGCCCCCGGCGGTGGGCACTGCCGGGCACTGCGTCCCTGTCACATGCGACGCCCCTTCCTCAGGATCTGACCCGAGCAGGGAGGCCGCTTGGCCGCAGACACACAGCAGAGGGCGGACAGATTCCCTCGCCGTCCTGAGGTCAAGGGGCGCGTGGGAGGGTCAGACTCGGAGGCCCCGGGGGCCAGGGCTGGCAGGACGGCAGGGGCCCTCCGGGCCTTGGGGGACACTGGGGTCCCTGACAGGGAGGGTGGCCGGCCGGGACCCCGTGTTGTCTGGGGGGACCCTCGCTGGAGGCCCCGCGTGTGGGCGGAGCTGTGGGCCGGGCCTGGGTCCCCGGCCCGGAGCCCGCGGCGGTGCCGCTCCTGGGGGTGCCCACGGGGCGGTGCCGCTCCTGGGGTTGCCCACGGGGCGGTGCCCCTCCTGGGGTTGCCCACGGGGCCCGGGGAGCACGGGCTCGCCCTGCGCCCTGCAGGAGAAGAGCGGGGCCCAACGGAACCGGGAGGAACGAGCAGGGCGGGCGGAGCGCCGAGTCCCTGGCTGCACAGCGGACTTGGGGGGCAGAAATAAAGAAGCCTGGGTGACCCGGGCCCCTCGATGGTGACCACAGTTCCTCAGATCCGCGCTCGCCAAGGTCGGGGCAGGACGGGCGGTGGGCGCGCTGCAGGGGTGCGGGGCAGGGGGGGGCCCTGGGTCGCCCCGGCCTGCGTGCGAGCGCACGAGCTGGGGCAGGAAGCGGGGCGCCCGGTGGGACGAGGGCAGCGGCTTCCCCGCCCGGAGACCGACCTGCGGCCGAGGCCGGGTGAGCTCGCCGAGGCAGGAGGATTGCCAGGAGCTCCAGGCCACCCAGAGTCCCCTGGCGGGACCCCGCTTCAGCACTCAGACGTGAGGTGACACGTCTGTCACCCCAGCACCGGGGGGGAGCCCGGGGCGGGAGGATGGTTCGCGGTGTTTGAGGGTAGCCTGGGCTACAGTACCGGTCACAGGAAACAAGGGCTGCCAGCGGGGGTGACCGTAGGCCCGGCCCATCCCGGCGGAGCCCCGCGTAGACTGCGTCCCCGGCAGGCCTGTGACGCCCCGGACGCTGAGGTCACACGGGGGACCCGTCGATTGAAGTGGGGACTCCGTGCACGCGCTGGGAACCCCGGGTGGGCTACGGGGCCTCCTGTTCAGGACCTCCAGGGGCGGGGGTCCAGTTCTCAACCCTGCCTCAGTTTACCCGGCCGCGTCTGCTGCCCTGGGTCCTTCCGTGGGGCTGGGCAGGGGCTGGCGGGGTTGGTGGGTGGGATGGGAATGTCGCCCGCGGGGCGGGGGCGCGGGGCTGGTGGCGG